TGTGAAAACTTATGATTTTCTTAATCCTCTCATTTGGTACACTCAGATTGGTAGAATTTAAAACATTTTAGTGGATAAAGGTTGTAATAATCTGAAGATTAACAAAAAGAGGAGATCAAGCATTGATCTCAATATCTAAGATTCTAAAGTTTTCAGCTCCGGTTGTCGAGAATCTTCAAAAAATACTTTTTGACAACATTCCCCATAAGTTTGCGTAAACAGTACTTTTCTTCATAAAACTAAATATTATGAAAGATTATTTTGTTTATACTTAAAATAGAAATTATGAACGACATATTCTCAAATGAAAATTGTCCAGGGATGAAATGTGGAAATATTTCTCTTATGACGAAATCTAGGAATTAGGAAATGCTTTAACTACATTTTTCTTGAAAATTTTAGAAATTAGTTCTAGCATCGATATGATATAAATACAGGGTTATCTACAAAATAGTAGGCCGTAAAGTTTTTAGTTTGACCAAGGTCATATTGAAAGGAAAATTAATAATCTGAATACATATTGAAACCAGTTCTCTCTGGGCGGAATTTGTAAAAGTGTTCGTTTAGTATCCGAGGAGGTTAATTAAATTTTAATAATTTTGACAATTCAAAATAGTTTCATATGCATGACCAGAATATTTCATTGATTTGTTGTGTGAAAGATGGATCCTATGTTAGGTTTCGACATCCGCGTCTTGTGTTTACATTACCACCCAGGACAGTCCACTGCAGTACAAAAGATACATACACCCCTGAAATACTTTCCTTGCATTATAACCTTAAGAGTATGACAATTTAAATGTTAAATTAATTCTTGTCCTGAAGACAAACAGTCTTTTTATGTCTTATACAATGATTTTGCAGATAAAGTACCATGGTTTACAGTTTCAGAGAATCATAAATGTAAGACAACAGGCAGTATAAATTCCGTACAGCTTCGACTCTGTAATTGTAAGACAACAGGCAGTATAAATTCCATACAGCTTCGACTCTGTAATTGTAAGACAACAGCCAGTATAAATTCCATACAGCTTCGACTCTGTAATTGTAAGACAACAGGCAGTATAAATTCCATACAGCTTCGACTCTGTAATTGTAAGACAACAAGCATTTGTAAGACAACAGGCAGTATAAATTCCATACAGCTTCGACTCTGTAATTGTAAGACAACAGGCAGTATAAATTCCATGCAGCTTCGACTTCAAAGTCTTATCCTTTGTGCAGGTAACGGCTGTATAATTACTACTATGCATATTACTGGGTAAAGTAAATTACAAATGATGAGACATAACTGGTGACCAAAAAATCAAAATAATTATTTACAACTACTTTACAGGAAAGTTGAGGGAACCCCTGGTAAAAAATTTAATTTCCCGAATATAATAGGAGTTGTACACAATTTTATCGTCTTTTGGGATGAAAATGTGCGAATTTTTTCCCTAAAACTTCGCAGTAAGGGTGGTTATTTTACATAACTGGTCCCAAGGGACGTTAAGTATTCTAATCTCCCTCTGTTGGGGGGAATCATAGGTAAGTAATGTTGGCCAAAAGGCGGTAAAATATTATTTCGCTTTTCTAATTATAATCATAATTCAGTATTTTGATAATATACTTAACTCATGTCAAGTTAAAAAACCGCATATATTCTCTACAGTCGTCAACTCATCTTTAATGACTAACCCTGGATGTAAAGAAGATGCATATGACGAGGATGAAAAGAAAGAAATGAATATGCAATAAAGAATAATTAATTATGATCTACATCAGTATAATATATACATATTGCGTGCATAATGCATATTGCATAAATCTATATATAAGAATAATATTAATATTCTATACATGTAACAAATCCCTTACTCCAATAGTACTTGAAGTCTGTATCCAGATACAACTCTCTCTCTGTAATCTTGAGTCTGTATCCAGATACAACTCTCTCTCTGTAATCTTGAGTCTGTATCAATCCAGATATAACTCTCTCACATGTATTCTTAAGTGTGTATCAATCCAGATATAACTCTCTCACATGTATTCTTAAGTGTGTATTTATCGACACACAAAACTATAGAACTCTATACTCTCTACAGAGCAATATTACTCTGACCGTAATCAAACAGAGTTCATGTCAACTAACTATATTTAAGGTTTATATGATACAGGTAAAAATGAAATTGACTGATAGGTCTTTTCAGAGATTAAGGAACATAGTTATATATGCAAGACATGTTAATTAGGGTTATTACTGTAATATACAGGTAGGTTTAGGTTTCCAAGGTATGGGGGTTATTACTATATTTATTACATACATATATCTATATATTACCATAATATAAATATTCTACATATAGAACATAATTCATAAATCTTTAATAAACAATGATCAGCGGCTGGGAGTTATTTGATCATTAAATAATTGCAATGATATATTCTTTAGAGAATAAAAACAGCGGTTGTTTTCTTCAAAGTATAATATTCATTGATATACAGGGTTACCCACAAAGGAAGAGACTTCAAAGACATTTGTACAAATTGATTACATTGTCATTTTCCTTAAATTCATGATTCCTATCAACAATATACTTGTTTCTTTCTCTTCCAAATTATTAAATAAATCATTAAAAGACTATATTTAAGACTAACGACTAAGATTCGTCATATTTGCCCTTGTTATTCTTTACAAAATCATTTATTATAGCATCCTCAAAGTACGAGACAGGATTTAACCTGACATTTTATATTTAAAGAGATTTTATGCCTAACTTTGTATTATTCAATTAAAGGAATTGTTTTGATATTATTTCACAAGATTCCAAATAGTTATACACAATTATAGTGCTAAACTTTATCTTGTTGTGCATGCCACAACAAGAATTGTATTGGTCGGAGAACAAGTTTTTTTTTCAGTGCGTGTCTCTGTTGTTGTGAATGTAAAAGAATAATACAAATTTTAGGCATGTCTCAATAGTTGTGAAATAGTTCTGCATTTTCTCAAAAGCTTTAGTTTTTTTAATAGTTATAGTGTGAAGATTGATTTGATTTTTTAAAAATTATTTTTGCGGGGCTCATGCGCCTCTAGACCCCTTCCCTCGTTGTTGACAAATTAGAAAATAGCCTATACAGAACATAAAATTAATGCTAAGATTACTCGTTTTTTTACAATCATGAAAATTTTCTAGGCATGCAGTGGGGCTCTGCAACCCCCCACCTGCAGTATACGTTTCCCTAGCGGTGATCCTGGGCCTTTACCACAACACCCGTCTTTGCACCTCGGCCCACTGGGGAAAATCCTGGTTACGGGCCTGTATTCAAATATGATATGAGACACTCTGTATATCCCTGCTTGATTTTAAATATGCATCTAATACTGGATCCAACTGTGCTAATATAATAAATATATGTATGGTTATAGTATACTGTATAACGTATGTATATTGTATGTATACGCCCCACGCATTATTGTTAAGAATTATGCAGAATACTTACAATGTTTGTTTCGTAAAGGGTGTCCCACGAAACATTACAATTCAAGATATAAAAATTACAAAATACCCTAGTCCTGGCATTTCCAAAATTTGGTCTGCTTTAAATATTACCCCAGATATGAAGAATTTAGTTCAGATTTCGACAATTTTGGTTTTGATTCACAAAATTGAAATCTGAACGATTAGTACAGTTCAAAAAATGCAGACCACATTTTGGAAAAGCCAGGATTATGAATATTTCGTGGTTTAATATTGTTTCAAGAATAATACATGTGAAAGAAGTTTGACGACTCAATGCCATAAAAAAAATATTCTAATATCAAAGACGACCTTTAAGTCGTAATGCTACTGTCGTGTTTTGTGGGGACACCCTGTATCTAAAAATTATGAATTCCAGGGAACTTTATGCTCAGGTTATTCTTGACTTTGAATTATTTTTCAAACCTTTTATGTTTATGTGGTTTGTCAAGCAGAACTAACTGCAAATAGTAAAAAAAAATTTCATAAAACTTAATTATGCTAAAGTTTGTTTTTATCAAAGTTTGCAACATCTTTATCCTAAAAGAAAGAAATAAAAAGTACAAAAAGATCCGAAAATCGTTAAATTTTCGTTTTTTTCCATGTAAGTTCTGCCAGGGTCATAAAACTTGAAATATATGCTAGAAATTATAAAGAAAAACCGATCGAAAAATGAACCACCTAATGGTACATTACTAACTACAATAAGTAAATCCTCATTTGAATTGCCACCGTAAAATATTATTTTTGTGGAAAATTTTTCCCAAGGAGCGTTTCAATTCAGTTCAAGAAGCTAGGGAACTCCCGTGGGCTCCTCGATCTATCTGGGTACGCCATCATGATCCCATCTATAGATCAAGGCTTTTCACGCATATTTGTACTTAGTAAATTTTAACTGAATGCTCAGAGTAATAAATTATATTTAGTTATGGTCACCACAAAATTGACATTTCTATGCATTGTGAGCTAATTAAGCTTTCTTTAATTATGTCCTTTTTTAATTTATTAAACCTCTTTCATTTTAATTGTTGCATATAGTGAGTATAAGTTCATTTGAGGATTCATGATTTACAAAAGTTTTAATCAAAAGTTGCAGAATTTAATGGAAAAAGAAAAAAGATTTTGTGAAACTACGGGTTCGTTCATCTCTTGTAATCATATCTGCTTTTTCCTTATTCTACAGTTACGTTTTTCATATCTTAGGAATATAACATCTCTGGAGATCGTAAGAGTAAGAGTTCTTAATCACAAAATACCCCTAGTCTTGGCATTTCCAAAATGGGGTCTGCCTTTTTTGTGCTTTCAATTTTTTAAAATTTTCTGGTGATATTTACTACTCAAAAAGTCAGACCACATTTTGTAAATGCCAGTACAAAGCGAATTATGTGGCAATTGTTTCAAGAATGATATGTGAAGGTAGGTTGCTTCTCTCGTGTTTTGTGAGACATCTTGTATAATGTATTTTATTGGAGAGGGACGCTAAGCTTAATCAAAAACATGTCCGAGAAATCTGCATGTATTTCAGATATGACTAGTTATATAACCAACAGTATAAACCAGAGAAAAATTAAATAGTTTTACAATTTACAGTGTTGAAATACATTTTTTAGTGGGCACAAAGTAAATTACAATGTTTATTTAACAGGATAGAGAACATATATATATATATATATATATATATTTATCCTGTAATCTTTAAACTAAGGAAAGCTGCAAGTTGGTAAAATACAATGCAAAAATTGAATTAAGTTTGTTGGCTGCGGCGTGACAGTATTCTGTGTAATTTTAATATTTGAAAACATAAGTTTTGCACCACATGACCTTTAAAAATCAAATTAGCAAAAATTAAGGGAATTTAAAAAATATCACAAATTTCCTTTCTGCAATTTTAATGCTTCATGAATAAATCTAAATTTACCAAAAAATTCCTTGTCATGTTTGATTAAAGAAAACTCCGTAGACCAAAGTTTAAACCTAAAAATCTTGTTTTAATAAATACACTGCAGTAGATCAGTAAAGTTTCGATTTTATAAAAATTTTCGGTGGAAAAAATTAACCTAACTAAATTTAATGGTTAGAAGAGAGTTTTTACAAAAATCAGTCTTACTTCACTAAGTTTCATACTTACAGTTAGCTGGTATATAAAAATTTAACGGTACAAGACAACAACAATAGGTGGCGCTCGAGATGAAATATTTTATTTCACCTAAAAACGGCCTCGATAAGACTTTTAAAGAACTCATTTGAGTTTCAGGAGATCGAAAGATAGTTGAGGTTAGAAAGTGGTAAATTTCAACCCAAGTTAATATAAGAGAATCATATTACAATAAATTTACCGTTTAAAAAAGTATAAAAATGTGCAAAACAAATTCCGTAAGAAGGCAGAATTGTGAGATATGCGTGTTTTGTGCAAATACTATTGGACGAAACCAGTCTTTTTTTCATTCTCGATAATTTGTCCGTGTTCAGACGAACGATGTTTTAATTTTCATTAGGACTGTTTTTAAAAAACATTATCATCTATTGTAACAAAAATTTGTATAAATATAAATATATTATAAAGCTGCACGCAACTTTCTTCTTTTCAAGCTCGAAATAAAATGGCCGCTGATAAGAAATCAGCTGACACTGACAGTAATGGCTAATCTTAAATGGCCGGTAGAAAAGCAGCTGACTACCGCCTACCGGTGATAATAGTCTCGTAAAACACTGGACGTTAAATCATATTTAATATTCAGAAATGTTTTTAGAAATATTTAAAGTGGATTCTTCTATTTCAAATGCAATTTAGTCCAAACTTCTTCGAGTCGTATCTCATTTGGGATTAATCAAAATCACTATTTCTGAACTTTATGAGTTTTAAGTTTTAACTGAATCTGAATGAGACAGATTTAATTTTTGGTTTCAGTTGATTTTCTCTGACACATCTTGATCACACTCAGAAAGGGTTTCGACAACCTCAGAATACAAGAACTGAACAGCTTAAAATCTTGGTTTGGATCTATCATTAACTTCGTTGGTTTTCTTTAAACTGAATCCTCGCTGTATCTCCTGGTTAAGTATCGGACGAACACGACGAACATCACTCACGGTTCGAGTTTCGATCCACTGTCGAACCCTCATGGCCGAGTGCTCGAACTGAGCGGGAGGGAGGTTAGGTCCCCTGGGAGGACCGTTGTTAGGCCAGGCGTGACCGTTTATGTCCGGAGGCTGGGGTCTCTGACCGAGGGTAGGATCCATATCCTAAAATTCATTTAATTACAATTTTAAAACTTAACATAGAAACAGGAGATTTGTACAGTTACCCCCGGCCCTAAAAAATGAGACTTCTATTTACGATTTTATGAAAGTTCCCTGCGACTCTTAATTTTTCTTAATTCACCATAAAAAAGTGCATATTTCAGGCATAACACCAAAATCAATTTAGTCTCGACCAGGCTGTTAAGTGTAGCCCTGTATTATTAATTACCTCAGAAAGATAAAATCATGGATTATATATTTAAAACATTACTCTTTTCTACATCTAAGCTGTTAAGGAAAACCCAAAAAAATCATTTAGATGGAATACATTGATCATTTCAGCCTTGTCATGTCGAAAATTGCATTAAATGGACAGTATGCGTAACCTCAAAAGCTTTGTTTTTGTTTATTTGAAATTTTATTTTTATTTGTGGTTTCTCTGAGAAAGTGAATTGCACTTTTCTTACTTTAAATAAAAAATGGTGAAATTCACAGAAATGAAGGACAGTTTCTTCCAAAATGTTGATCAGATTAAGGATTCAAGGGTACCGTTGTAAATCGGGCATAGCTTTTTTTTGCATGAAGAGTCACTTAATATTACGCTAACAGTCACTTTAAAAACTGGTTTGAATTTTTTTACATAATGACCTGCATAATCTGATCATGGTACTGATGTTGCTGATGCTTGTACCAGTTCTTACTGTGAAGCTGGAACTGCATACCGAACCCGTACTGTTCTCCTTCAGGACTACCGTTAGCATTGTACTGCTGTTGATGTTGGTTGGGGTGCTGTTGCTGGTTAAACTGCTGTTGTCCGTTATACAGCTGACCGTTTGAGTTATACAGCTGTTGGCCATTCTGCTGTTGGTATTGCTGCTGCTGCTGTTGGAACTGCTGGTGCTGTTGATACTGGAACTGACTGTTCGGCTGTTGAAAATGCTGAGGTGCAATCTATAAGTGAATTTAAATACAATCTAATCTAAAAAGCGGTGTTTCAAATTTCAATAAGTAAATAAAAAATTCCTATCAAAAATTAAAAAAGCTTTTTTTAAAAATGTTTGTGCAAAATGATTCAGACCTGAGGACCGGGAGGATGGGGTACCATTCCAGGTTCCGTGTGACCCAGTGCCATCTTGTTTTGCTGCTGCGCCTGGATTTTCTGTTGGAGCGCGGCAACCGGCGCATAAATCTGCTCATTGGATCCTGGGGAGATAGGCCTGGGCCCACGAGGTGAGGATAGAGCGGCATCAAGACGAGCTTTTATCTGAGATCTATCTGATATTGAAGACATGGGGGAAGGACTACTCATACTCTGAACCCGCCTAGAGAGAGAAAACAACTATTAAAATGTAGGGTTTGTTAGAGATTTGCAATAAGAAATAAGGTCTTCTTATTTCCTGAGATCAGGATCCATTTAATTTTTATGTGGATCCGGATCCTGAATCTGCACTGGAATAAAATGGATCCAGATCCAGGCCATGAACATTTCTTTAAGATTTATTGATTTTTTAACAGAAGATCTTTTTTTTACAACAGTTCTGATTTGGATTTTTATTCGCAGTTTTTTGTTAATATTTTCCCACTTAGATCTGTATCAGTAAATTTCCATATTTTTGCGGATCCGGATCCAGGAAGCAAAAATGTTGCAGATCCAACGGATCTGGATCCTTATCACTTCATGTCTTTACCTTAGAGTGGCGGGGCTGGACTGTCTTGGTGACTGAGTGCTCTGTCGTCTTTGAAGCTCTCGAACAGAATCTGCTACACTCAACCCTCGTCGTCCTTCGATATCTCCTCCACGCTTTCCTTCATCTTCATCATCCTCGTCACTATGGAGTAGATGGGGAGGAGGAGGGGGCAGGAACTCCATACTTCCTCGGGGAGTGGTACTGTTACTCCCCGGCTCAACATCGTCGTCACGTCCGCCGTCCTGGCTTGCTGCGGAGACACGGCGGATTGGTGGAGGGGGTTTACCAGCTGCCTGGGACATACTTCGTCGTAAAATAGTTCCTCCGCCTCGCAAACCTAGATAAGTTAATAAATTTTAGATCAGTGTTTTAACATTAAAAATGCTTTTTATTGATTAAAAAAAATTCAGATTAAACTTTACTTCATATCCAAGTTTTAAAGACCTAAAATTTGTTGTTTAACTTAAGGATTACACCAAATCACAGAAAAATTAAAAATAAAAAAAAAATACTAAAGGAGAAAAATTGGTATAAAAACACACAATGCAAACCTAAGGAATAAAAAAAGCTTAATTTAAGACATTAAAAAATACTATTAAAATTCTTTGTAAATCTTAACTTAAACTTAAATAGGTGCATGTAAACCATGTGTAATGTGTACAATGTATAGAACTAACTACTATGTACAAATTAAAAACGTGCAGGGAAGCAAATGTCCAATTTAGATAACGGTCAAAATTTTACAACTAGAAAAAATTTAAATTGTACAGGGAAAATGTAAAGTTTAATTTTTAGACAAATTCCCACAACACTTTTTTCTCAGAACCCCAAAAATATTAACTGTTGATGAATAATGTTTGGATTTAAAAAATAAATAATAATTTTTTTTCTGTACCCAACTGTGCACCAAGAGCTTCACTGAAAGCAACTTCAGGGATCACACCATGGGTGAAGGAATAGGGGCGTTGTAGAGAACCCCTGACCCCCGCCTGGTGCCCCTGGGGGACGGCTGGCACCCTGAAGGGAGGCAGAAGGGGCGCAGGTGCTGGCACCCCTGAATTAATTACTAAACTAAAAATCAAAGAAATCAAATCAAAAAACTTAAAAAAAAACTTTTTGAAATTTTTCTTCACACAAGACAATAAATAAATAAATATTGTTTATAAATTAAGGAAAGTAAAACAACTATTTAAAAGGGCTTTATTATTTTTAAATATTAATCTGTTTTACTTTCTTCTAAATGAAATTAGTTAAGACAAACATAGAAACAGCACAGCCCTATTCTTGAAGAAATTAAACATTGACAGAATTTCGTCAAGAGATTCTTTATTCATAAAAAATTCATTTCAGAAATCATAAAACTTAATTAACCTTCTATTTTCATTTTAAATATGACATATTTTAAGAATTCCATTAGACTTAATATTTGAAAAAAGAAGGCCATTTAACCAAATCATGTTTTTTTTTACACAAAATGATTTTAAAATTACTAAAAGCATGCACAAACTTCAAACAAGCGGGTAAACAAACAAAAACTCGCCGACCGGTTAATCTGATGCTTACCGTTACCCGCAGCAACATCCTCCATGTGTTGACTACCGCCGCTGCCACCGCTTCCGGCGTAACCACTGTCGGATCCTAAACCTGTTTGATTCTCCGCCGTCGGAGTTTTCAGGTCCATCCCCTCATCCGCCTCAGATTGCGCATTTCGAACATTAGCCATAGCATCCGCCATATTCATGTACACAGGCTGGGGTACAACTAGAAACCGGCCATAATGTAAACAAACAAAACAAACAAATAAACTAACAAATTTCCAAAACCGGGTACAACCTTGAATTTCAACAAACAAAGCCCATGATCTGTGCAATCGTGGCGTTTAAACATCTGGAACTGTTTCTTTAGTAATCAACACTTTCCCTCATTTTTAATAGAATTTCTTAAGTAGGTATATTACCTAGCTAACCAGGCACTAATGGATAATGGGTGGGGGTGGGGGGATCATTAATTTCAACCATATTAGTGTACAGCAGAAATGAGGAGGTGATAAATCAAAAAGAAATCAGGGCGATGAATTAAAAAGAAAACAGGGCGATGACTTAAAAAGAAAACAGGGCAATGAATTAAAAAGAAATCAGGGGGATAAACTAAAAAAAATCAGGCTGATAAATTAATAAAAATCAGGATGATGAATTAAAAAAGAAATCAGGGTGATAAATTAAAAAGAAAACAGGGTGATGGATTAAAAAGAAATCAGGGCGATGAATTAAAAAGAAATCAGGGTGATGAATTAAAAAGAAATCAGAGTGATGAAAAGTACTGCAGCAGAGGCAGAATATAATTAATCGTCAAGAATTGAGAAAACTAAAAATTAGTTAAATAACAGTATTCGAAATAGAAATATATAAAGATATAAATATATTCATACTGATGATTGCATAAAAGCATGAGACAATTTGTTTATCAATAAAATTTTATAAGAAGACTGTTGCGTTTCAACTGTTATATATATAATATAAATATATAAATTGGAAAATTTATATTTGAAGGGAAAATTAGGGCGAATAAATCTATCAAATGGAATATTATGTAGGTTCCACCCTGTTGAATTGAAAAAACTATCTATCTAGTATCTATGTATCTATCTATCTATGTATCTATCTATCTATCTATGTATCTATCTATGTATCTATCTATCTATCTATGTATCTATCTATGTATCTATCTATATATCTATCTATATATCTATGTATCTATCTATGTATCTATCTATGTATCTATCTATGTATCTATCTATGTATCTATCTATGTATCTATCTATGTATCTATCTATGTATCTATCTATGTATCTATCTATGTATCTATCTNACAAGTATCTTTGATCCCTGGAACTAACAAGTATCTTTGATCCCTGGAACTAAAGTATCTTTGATCCCTGGAACTAACAAGTATCTTTGATCCCTAGAACTAACAAGTATCTTTAAAATAACGGTTTTCAAGTAAACAAAGATAAGCTGTTAACTTGTCGTTGTTTAAATGTTTCTGCTGTTTGAATACTTGGTAGAAATCAAAATTGAAATTATAAGTCGTCTTCAATGTATAGATATATACGCGGACGACTGTAGTTAATCGTAGTTTTAATCTCACTGAGTTAAACTCTTCATTCATAAACAGTCATCTCTGACCTCACGCCTATCTCAACATAACCCTAATCAACTATCATACTGAGTATAGGGGAATGAGATAAACCCCTACACTTGCTAAACTTCTTTTTCATACAAAAATTGATTTTAAAAAGAACAAAATGCATTTAGCTAATTTGTAATTCCAGTTTTTAACTGCCAAAAGGCGCAGATTCTGATAATTTGCATTCAAAGAATCAATTCAAACGTTTAAAAGCCACAATATTCAGAAATCCTAAAACCCTCCGAAATAATCCCGAAACAGCTGTGAAAAGTGCATTTCATGCTTGTCTTTAAACTGAAAACCGATTTGCAGTAAAAAACACTTTTCCCGGTTTAAATGTTTTGTGAAAATAGATTTAATACATACCCATATCAGGCTGGTTACAGGCAAAGTTTGGTAAACCGTTGGGATTTTGGGAAATTGGCGTGTTTTGAAGGATTCTCTGATTCGGAGGGCGCGTTGGCACATTGGGCCTGTCAAATACAATGTTGATTTAACCCGTTTTTCCAATGACTTCAATAAAATTATGACTCCTTTATCATCTGTATAGTAACTAGACTCACGTGTTTAGTTTTAGCAAGAAATTTTTTTTTTAAAGTGCAACATTGCGAATTGTTGACTCACATTGAAAGTCTCATTAAATCGACCAAAATTTATTTTGAAGTAATAAAATAAAATAAAATGAAATTAAATGAAATATCCAATCAAATTTACTTCCTGTTAAGAAGTTGCGTACTGCGTAAACAATAAATAGGACATTGCGTGAAAATTTGAATTTACCGCCATGGTTCCGTTAAAACATATCTTAACAATACAACTTCGTCTGGACAATAGGAGGGGGACTAAATATAGGACATCAATATATAAGAGAGATCTGACAACAACAAAACAGAAATCAGGGGGGGGGGGAGGAGGGGGCATTTCATTGCGAAATGTCCGAGGGAAAGTATTTGAAGAAGAAAAAAATTTTAATTAACAAATTTGAAGAAATACATTTTTGAGTAGGGAACAAACACTGCTTTGTTCAGTGTCCAGCGTGATTTAAAAATTCCAGGATTATAAGAAAAACAAGAAAATAGAATTCTGAGTAATTAAGACAAATAAAAGAAGTTGGATTGAGGGGGGGGGGTGGTAAGGTTATGAAGTATATGCGTTTAATCACTCTATACAGAATATTAAATATTGCCTGCAGCTTTGAAATAATTCTAATTCTAAAAGTGTGTCCTAAAAACTATGCCAAGCTAAACAATTTGACAAATGACCAGTACTATGTCCAAAACTCATTCAATGTGTTTTTTTTGGTACATCAACAATAAAAAGGTTCATAAACAAGCATGTGATTATAAAACATATTATAAAATACGGCAGATGTCGGTAGGATTATTTGAAACATTTTTCTGGCTTCGGGGTAGCAATAATTTATTTAAATTTAAACAAAATTTTTAAAAAATTTGAAATCCGCATAAAAAGGGGGATTAAAACAGGGGTTAATTTCAAAATGAATTTTAATTATTTCCAACTTCTGTAAAGTGAAGATGAATTTTGCCAATTTATTAAGATTCGCAAACTTTGATTTACAATTTACCAAGCAAACTCAAGTGACTTTAGAGACTTATATTTGTTGTGGGGACGTAACTGAATATTTGTCCCAAATTATAATTGCCTTTAAAATTTCAATCTTTGAGCTCGAACTGGATAGGGATTAGATAGATAGAGTTTGAGGCAAGTGATCTATCTATTCCTTTATGGATTCAGAACACAATTTAATTTATCAATTCTCCTTTAAGTATAAATACAAGGGTACATGGGGTACAGGGGAGGGGGAGAGAAATATTGGATTGATTATTTGATCAACAATGTTCCTGTCAAGACTGCCGCATCTCTGGGGTACAGGAGGTCTACAGTAGATAGGTTCCTCATACCCAGGGTTAGTTGAGTAGGGACGCTCCTCCTCCTGAACAGACACAAGTTAAAGCAAGTATACACAATTTTTAAAGGGAGTGACTGGCTAGACATGGAAGTTGAGATGAGAGTGCAGTAATATTTTACTGTAGTTGTAACGTTTTTGCCGTCGTTATCAAAAAATAAAAAAAACCTATTCTTTAAATGTTTCCTTCAAAATAAACAATCCGAGAGAATTATACACCGTAAAGGTCTTAAAGGTCTCAAATTAATCATAAAATATTTCACTTCAAAATGCACTCTCAGTTCAACTACCATGTCTAGTCTGTCACTCCCTTTAAAAGAGGTTTTATGACAAAATTATACAAAGTAACTTTATTATCTTTTTTCCCCTACGGATTGTAGGTTGATTGTTTTGCTTTGATTTCAAGTGAAGAAATCTAAATTTAAACTTTTTTTTGCCGTATACCACGGTAAACTTCTTGCATAGACCTTGTAACACACGTTTACTTTAACAATCGAGTAAAAAAAATCTATAATAGTTTCATTATTTTTCCTCCAGAATGATTGATACACATGTATTTATACATAAACACAGCATTATTGAAATACAGCTAATTCTGGCTTTTTACTTGTAAAGAATCAAAAAAAAAGTTTTTAATATTAGATCTATTTTTTCTTTTTGATATTTATGAGTGGAATGTTGGAAAATGAGTTTCAAATATTCCTAGAGAATAAATATCTATTTATTCAACTGCCATCAAATAATGTTTCTTTATACCGATTTTTTATGTTATGACTTAGACAATTTTAAAAAAAGTTAACTTTTTTTCCTTGAATAATTTTGGAATAATTTTTTTACCTGAATGTTAGATTTAATAAAAAAAAAATTTAGTTGATTGGGCTTTTCTATTTAATATATTTGATTTGTATTCATAAATTATCAGATGTAAAAAGTTTTTTTTAAACCAGATTATTACTTATCCCTGATGATTTCGATTTTTAAAAATAAATATTGTTAATTTGACTTCTCTATTAAATATATTTTGTATTCATGAATCTAGAAGGTTTAAACTATATAAAATATGCATCCTAATATATAAAATATGCATCCTGTAGAGCAAAAACATGTATTAGACACACCCCCATCCCAAACTTGTTTTTAACTATTTATTATTTTTCAAAATAAAAATAAATAAATAAGGAAATTTCAAATGCAAATGAGTGGAAAATCAATAAATTTTGAAATTTGTTAAAAAAATCAAGAAAACATGTTTATGACCTGGATCTGAATACAATTTTTTTTCAGGTCGATCCATGAACCGTATCCGTTTCAGTATTTGGGAGCAAGAAAATATTCTCTTCTGACTCTGTAATTATGGTGGTCCTATAGCTTTGGCAAATGTTTCTATTTCTCCGGCCAAAAACAAAATTATTTAAACTTCTAGTTAAACTTATCTTACAGAAAAAGAAGATTACTAGATCTAACTTCTTCATATTTATTTCCCTGAAATATTTTCTACTTCCATTCTTTAGATTTTACCTATTTTCTTTAATTCTTTTTCCTTATTCCATCCTTTTCAAAATTATTCAAACTTGAATTCTATTCCTTTCCCTTTTCTTTGCTATATAAACTCCAATATCCTCCTTTTCCACCGTAGTCCCTCCAATCCCATACTATTTTCTGCTATTCTTTCCTCTTTCCTTTCAGTTCCCGTAATTTTCCTCCTCTTTTCTCCTTTTCTCCTCTTTTACTCTCTTTTCTCCTCTTTTCCCCTGTTTTCCCCTCTTTTCCCCTCTTTTCTCCTCTTTTCTCCTCTTTTTTCCCCTTTTCTCCTCTTTTCTCCTCTTTTCTCTTCTTTTCTCCTCTTTTCTCCTCTTTTCTCGTCTTTTCTCGTCTTTTCTCGTCTTTTCTCTTCTTTTCTCCAATTTTCTCCTCTTTTCTCTTCTTTTCTCCAATTTTCTCCTCTTTTCTCCTTTTTTCTCCTCTTTCCTCCCCTTCTCTCCAATGCTCTTCTCTATTACAGCCTTCTCTCCACTTAAACATTGCTATTCTCCCTTCTCCTTTAACTAGCCAACTTAATCCATTTCCCCATCTTCTATCCAGTTACTATCCAGTTACTAACCAGTTACTATCCAGTTTTTAATTATTTACTTCACAGTTACTATCTATCTATTAATTTTCATCCTACAATCATAAAGTCCTATCATGCTCCATTACTCATCCCACTTAATCCATTCCTGATCCTCTTTCCAGTTACTATCCTTATTTTCATTATCATCCTATATCCATTTATTCCCCTCATTCCCCTTTACTCATTCACTAATTAATTCCACTTCATCCATTTCCCATCCTCTATCTAGTTACTATACCAGACACTATCCAGTTACTATCTATCTCTCCCTGCCTCCCTGCCCTGTAAACTGTGGTCACTATAAACTGGGGGAATTGAACTTGTAAAGTTTGTGCATGTCTGCATCTGTTTCCAACTCATTCTGATTTTAGGATTTCAGGACAGAATTCAGGGAGATTTTAGAACAGAATTCAGGGAGAATTTCAGGACAGAATTCAGGGAGGATTTCAGGACAGAATTCAGGTAGGATTTTAGGACAGAATTCAGGGAGGATTTCAGGACAGAATTCAGGTAGGATTTTAGGACAGAATACAGGAAGGATTTCAGGACAGAATTCAGGTAGGATTTTAGGACAGAATTCAGGGAGGATTTCAGGACAGAATTCAGGGAGGATTTCAGGACAGAATTATTCAGGTAGGATTTTAGGACAGAATTCAGGGAGGATTTTAGGACAGAATTCAGGGAGGATTTCAGGACAGAATTCAGGTAGGATTTCAGAACAGAATGCAAGAAGGATTTCAGGACAGAATACAGGAAGGATTTTAGGACAGAATACAGGAAGAGGATTTCAGGACAGAATACAGGGTGGATTTCAGGACAGAATACAGGGAGGTTTCAGGACAGAATACAGGAAGAGGATTTCAGGACAGAATACAGAGAGGTTTTTTAGGACAGCATACAGGGTGGATTTCAGGACAAAATACAGGGAGGTTTTTTAGAACAGCATACAGGGTGGATTTCAGGACAAAATACAGGGAGGTTTTTTAGGACAGCATACAGGGTGGATTTCAGGAACATAAAACAGATGAATGTAGATTATTTTTGCTCAAGAAATCTAACTGTCCAGAAATCCCGCTGCAGTATTTTCAATTCTGTGTAGAAGAAGACTATTAAGAAGAGTTATAGGTAGGTGTGTTAGCATATTAGTAAGACAGCTTATCATAATTAACTCAGTATTCCTATTTATCACAAAGACACGACCAATAGATCCCGAACTAAAAAAACTTTCTTCTTATTTTTTTATCATAATTTTTTTTAGCAAACTTGAATGAAACCCGGTGTATTTGCAAAAAAAGAAAGTCTAGTTTTATGTTCCTAGTTTGCAGGTTGATGGCTAGGTTTCTCCTAAAGTCCTAATAACAATGCATATTGTGTGACACGTCACCTAGAGCACATTACATGCGTATCATGTAACGTATCACGCGAGATTGGTGACAGTTCTTATACAAAATGTGACACAAAAAACACACATTAAATTAAAAAAGTGGCACACCACGTCGAAAATGTGACGCATTACGTGACAAACTGACACATCACGTCATCATGGGACAAGTGTGCCTCGTGCCCCACCATTTGACGAGTGTGACACATCACGTGACAAATGTGATACACCAAGTGACAAATGCGACACATCACATAACAAATGTGACACTCCAGGAGTCCGAGCGTACAGTACATAAAACTAACCTCACGAATCCTCTCTGGTTTGTTAAACGTATACGGCTGCAAGGCCGGGCGTTGATGTCCTTTATCATAGGCTGTGCTGATCGTGTGAGGGCGGTCTGACAAGGGCGGACCCGGCATCCCAGGGGCCAGCCCAGGCCAACCTGCACCAGGGGTGGAGCCCCCAGAACCAGAGAGATCTTGGTCCGAACCATTCGGAGTCTTGGACCTGAAACAATAACAAATATAAAAATGAAAGATGGAAAATGATGAATGATTTTTTTCTATTTGATATTCAAGACATGTAGTCCTATGCTGGGCAACTATAATAATATATAATTCACTCCTTCATTTCTTAAACCTTTTCCAACCAGATATTCAAGACATGTAGTCCTATGCTGGGCAACTACAATAATATATAATTCACTCCTCCTTCCAACCAGATATTCAAGACATGTAGTCCTATGCTGGGCAACTACAATAATATATAATTCACTCCTCCGTTTCTTAAACCTTTTCCAACCAGATATTCAAGACATGTAGTCCTATGCTGGGCAACTATAATAATATATAATTCACTCCTCCATTACTTAAACCTTTTCCAACCAGATATTTTAACTATTGAAAAAAAATATCCCAAAAAGTTATTGTCGTCGTCGTCCTATCATTCAACTAGATTTGTCATTAAAAACAATTAACTCAGAGATTGTGCCCTAACAATTTCCGTTCTGAATTTTTTTTTTGGGAACAATAAATAGTTACAATTCAAATTAAATGATAGAAGGAAGACGACAATGAATCCGTTATTGGTAGATTTTTTTCATCTATAAGGACTACCCAGTCTTAGGAAGAGTATGTTTACCTATGAGGACTATAAGGTCCAAGGAAGAGAGAACGTTCACCTATGAGGACTACCAGGTCTAAGAGAGTATGTTTACCTAAGGACTGTAAGGTCCAAGGAAGAGAGAACGTTCACCTATGAGGACTACCAGGTCTAAGAGAGTATGTTTACCTATGAGGACTATCAGGTCTAAGGAAGAGAGTACGTTCACCTATAAGGACTACAGGACTGTAAGGTCCAAGGAAGAGAGAACGTTCACCTATGAGGACTACCAGGTCTAAGAGAGTATGTTTACCTATGAGGACTACCAGGTCTAAGGAAGAGTATGTTTACCTATGAGGACTACCAGGTCTAAGGAAGAGTATGTTTACCTATGAGGACTATCAGGTCTAAGAGAGTATGTTTACCTATGATGACTACCAGGTCTAAGAGAGTATGTTTACCTATGAGGACTGTAAGGTCCAAGGAAGAGAGAACGTTCACCTATGAAGACTACCAGGTCTAAGGAAGAGTATGTTTACCTATGAGGACTATCAGGTCTAAGGAAGAGAGTACGTTCACCTATAAGGACTACCAGGTCTAAGAGAGTATGTTCACCTATAAGGACTGCCAGGTCTAAGGGAATGTTTACCTATGAGGACTATTAGGTGTAAGGAAGAGAGAATATTTATCTATTAGGACTAACATGCCTAAGGAAGAGAGTATGTTTACCTATGAGGACTATAAGGTCTAAGAGAGTATGTTTACCTATGAGGACTACCAGGTCTAAGAGAATATGTTTACCTATGAGGACTACCAGGTCTAAGAGAATATGTTTACCTCTGAGGACTATCAGGTCAAAGATATTATCTTTATCTATGAGGACTACCAGGTCTAAGAGAGTATGTTTACCTATGAGGACTACCAGGTCTAAGTTTACCTATGAGGACTATCAGGTCAAAGATATTATCTTTATCTATGAGGACTACCAGGTCTAAGAGAGTATGTTTACCTATGAGGACTACCAGGTCTAAGAGAGTATGTTTACCTATGAGGACTACCAGGTCTAAGAGGGTATGTTTACCTATGAGGACTATCAGGTCAAAGAGATTATCTTTACCTATGAGGACTACCAGGTCTAAGGAAGAGAGTATCCTGACTAGTGAACCCACTATCCTGCGAGGAGATAGAGGAGAGACGCATTGGACCAACCAGGTTTCCAACACCCTGATACATAAAAATCATAAATGAAAATTTCATAAGTAACTTTTTAATCATACCACCATGATAGTATTTTCTGTGGGAATATACTTGTAATAATAATAATAAACAATAAATGATAATCAATATAATGAAGAAGGATTTTGAAATAGGTTACTTCCGCTATTTATGTATATCTTCTTCTTCCAATTTTAATCAGTTCTACTCTCGGCATTTTAAAACAGTTCTACTCCGCCATTTTGAAAACGTTCTATTCTCGTTATTTTGAAACAGATCTACTTCTTCAAATTTTAAACAGTTCTACTCCCGGCATTTTAAAACAGTTCTACTCTGACATTTTGAAAAACTTATAGTTTCGTTATTTTAAAACAGATCTACTTCATCCATTCAAAAAAGTTCTACTCCCGCCATTTTAAAACAGTTCTACTCCGCCATTTTGAAAACGTTCTATTCTCGTTATTTTGAAACAGACCTACTCCCGGCATTTTAAAACATTTCTTTCAATTTTTTAAAAAGTTCTTTTACAACCACATAAAACAATTCTACTCCTGGCATTTTAAACAGTTCTACTGTTGTGTAAATAATGGTGAGAATATAACATTAATGTATCCTGGAGAGAACTAGACTAGAACCTGTCTAAACTTACTGATTAACTAATCTATAACACAGTACACAGTACACTGTATTATATATACTACTATATTTAAATATATAAATATGTTTGTATGATTATTTGTTTGTCAAAGAATCTAAATATATAAAACAAACAGAACAGGAGAATTACCAATTTCGGAAAGCCCCCTGGATACACCTCTGACTACATTAAATGTTTTTTAGTCAAATTTTCTTTCACCTCTTCAGACTTTCTAAGTACAACAGTACAAAAAACTTGCGCCAGTACATGAAAAAAGTGTAGCTTCACTACATTTTTCTTCCTTCTCACGTTTAACCTGCACATACAAGTCAATTTTTGTCCTTTTTCCATTGTAGTACATATATTTTCCCCCCTCAATATTCTAATTAATATCGTGTTCCTTATTCATCAATATTGGATATTTAAGCCAGCAATCTCAAATAACAGATATTTCTTTATTAAAAATCCTCAAAGTTTTCTAAAACAACAGTTATTCAATAAAAGATAAAAGTCTAAAAGTTGGTTCTATATTAATTTCAAATCTACTAGCCTTTCCCCCCAAACCCTCCGACGGCTTTCAATCCGGTTTAATTATTAATTCATTGCCTCCTGAAGTGTTTTTTACTGGCCAAACGTCAGCCATATATTTCTACCGGAAGTAGAAGAAAAATCCTACGCCTGGAGACGAGAGCATTAATTGGATCTTCATAAAACCTTCTTAACTATGGTTCCTAGTTCCTAGGACTAGAAGAGCGTGCAACTTGAAAAGGGAGAAGGATGATTACAATGTGCTGAACCACTTTTTATCCAAATAATTTCTATTGTTTAAAAGGTTTGAAAAAGTCTGATAAGAAACGGATTGTAAGGAAAGCAACATCTCCATACGTTCCATTCATGAATTCAAACAAATTATTTGTAAAATATGTTCTTCTTCTTGTAAAATAATGAACATCTTCTTCTTCTTGTAAAATACTGATCTTCTTCTTGTAAAATAATGAACATCTTCTTGTTGTAAAACAATGAATATCTTCTTCTTGTAAAATATTGAACATCTTCTCCTTCTTGTAAAATAATGAACATTTTCTTCTTCTTGTAAAATAATGAACATTTTCTTCTTCTTGTAAAATAATGAACATTTTCTTCTTGTAAAATAATAAACATCTTCTTCTTCTTGTAAAATAATGAACATATTCTTGTAAAATAATGAACATCTTCTTCTTCTTGTAAAATAATGAACTTCTTCTTGTAAAATAATGAACATCTTTTTCTTATTGTAAAATAATGAACATCTTCTTGTTGTAAAATAATGAATATCTTCTTCTTGTAAAATAATGAACATCTTCTTCTTGTTGTAAAATAATGAACATCTTCTTGTTGTAAAATAATGAATATCTTCTTCTTGTAAAATATGGAGGTGATTACGCTTTATTGTCCCATTACACACAATAGGAAAGCGGTAAACATAAAGAGCTTTAATGTAGATTTATGCGTATAGAATCTACGCTAGAATATTTAGAAAAACAACCCTCCCCTCCCACTAAAATTTTTGCCTAGGTGCACTCTCATTTGGACAGTTTTTTTAAGATTAATGAATACCAAGAAAACAGTTTCAATAAGTTTTAAAAAATCTTTATGAAGATTTAGAAAAAAACCATGAGTAAGTCCCTTTATGGTTCTGGCCACCCTTGAACAGTCCCTTTCATTAATCTGTTCTAATATACAGAATACACAAATTCTTAGTTGTGCAGTTTATCCTGCTGAGACCAATACAATCAGATTTATAAAAGGAATAAATCAATTTGAATACTGAAGTATTCAATAACAAATATTCATTCGCTAAAAATAAATGAACAGAAATCAGCGCAAATTCCTAAATAACCAGCTAAAGGGCCTGACGTTGGAATTTAACAGCTAAAAGAAAAATTCGAATAATGTAGCTTATGTTGCCCTTAAGGTATCCGGTATCCATGAGTTAGTCCAGCCGTTTGGCCAGCTATAGCTAACATACATATATATGAGCGTAGAGCTTTATTATACAGAAGATATAGATATTCATATACAAATATAAATACAAATATATAAATCTAACTCTTGAGTGTTTCTTTAACGGAAACCAGTTTTTCGTGTATATCATTAAAAACTAACCATGTCAAATTTTGAGAGTTTTCCTGAACTAAATTGCGGATTTCTAAAATGTTTAACAATCAAAATTTTGTAGAGCACATTTTGCTGGAAAATATGATTTACCTGTCTGTTCTTTATTATATGTGCCTGATGAGAGGGTGAATTACTGCTCCCAGTGGAGCCGCTCCCTGCGGAGCTTATGGAGCACATGCTGCTCTTCCTGGAGCCAAGGGAGGAGGGGGAAGAGGGCGGAGTCTGGAAAACAACAGCTCCGCCTCCTGTCTTCACGTCTGTCAAGACCTAGTTATTTTCAAGTTAATTAAAAACAAAACTAATTTCGTTCCAAGCAAATATGTTTGAAAGAATTCTAGTAGCATATGTGTGTAGAGAAGAAATTAAGAAAATCTAAGATTAGTAGAAGCCAAATAACAGATTTGCAGCCCCCACCCCTATTTGTTCAATTTGTCAGGTATTGTGGGCTTACATAAACATAAGCTATTGAATCGGTTATAATAAGTTTATATCCTTCAAATGTTCGGAGTTGAAAATGGATCTGATAACTCGTCTCAACCTCAAATTTTATAATCCCTTACATTGCTGAGTGATGTCGAACATTTTGATATTTTAAACTATGACTTCTGCTAGATAAAAGTTTGAAATATTGAAAGGTGTACACCATCAGATTGTAAAGATTTAGGAATATATAATTGTTTGTTTGTTTGTCCAAAAGTACCTGTTCTGACGCCTCTGGAAGCTTGAAAGGGTCTTCAGTGTGTTTCTCAAGTTTGACCATTACCTAAACATATTTAAAGGTCAAGGGCAATTTGTTTCAAGTTTCAAAGATCATGATTTTCTAGTAATTAAGCTTAAAGGGAGTATTCGCAAAAAATGTTCGCGGTATAAGCTGATGACGAAAAAAATTCGGTATTGGTCGCTACTATTTTTACTTCTATCTATTGCGTCTGTAAGGAGAAAATGGATAAAAACGTCATAAACCAAAGAGCGTAGCGTCCGTATAAATTCATAGAGTTGCATTTTTCCACTCAGATTGTAAATAATTCAATCAGTGGCGTATTCAGGAATTTTGAATATGCCTCTGAATTTAACTCAAATCAAAACTAATATTTCAGATATTACAACCGAAAAATGTCGAATTCGATTCGATGCATTCATATATAGTTGATATTTCTTAATAATACAATTCGATATCAGCGATATCACGAACAATCCCTTTGAGTGTTCGTAAAGTTACAAAAATCGTTGAAAACCCAGCAGAAAACGACCAACTGCAACTGCTTCAAAACGGCTAAGATATCACACTATTTTAAGTTATTAAGTTTTTTCAAAAGTTTGTTTAAATCTTCAAATGACTGCGTGCAATTATTTGCACACATTTGCATAAATATCAATATTATTTCCTTGAATCTCAATGTCAACATTAATATTATTATTTTTAAACACTTTTAACACACTGTCATAGAAACTAAATAAATCCGGCTTAACTTAAAAATATTCTAAATGCGTGAATATTTTTGCATAAACATTGCAAATATTTTTGCACTGCTAATCCTCCAATTTGTCAGATCTTTTCAATATTTTGCATAAAACACGATTATATAATAAACATAAATAAATCTGTTTTAGAATAATAATTAACACTATTCGTTCTACCATATGGGCGGCCAGGATATCCATATTGTGTAGTAGGCCAGGGGGACACAAAATCGATATTTGATGGACGCTGATATTGAATTGGGATATATGTATAGTGGCAGCATAGAAACATGTCTTTTTATATACTGGGTGAATTTTTAATTGAGTACCAATAAAATGGGGAATACAGTATCATAATAAACATTAAGTTATAGTTTAGTAAAGTTATTAATACAGTGGTATGTCATAAACCCGATCGTAGGATTCTTAAAAACTCAGAAGTGTATAGGGACACCCTATAGTACTTTATATACTCGTGACAATCTTGTGTTTTCAAAAGTAGAGATACCCTGTACTGTTTATTTATTCAAAACTAATTTAAATTTATTCATGCAGATGTCAAATGTGTTTAGATGATAAGATGATGATGTTTAAATAAATAATAAATATTAATCCTCTTAATATCAACACTTCTCTGCATCTAATTTTTCTTCGCTCGCTCTCCTTTTTTTAATTTTCTTATTTAAAAAAAATTTAATTCTATTTCAACTTTCACTGTGGCTCTTTCTGTCAGCATCTTCTCTTTGTAAAATATAAAACAATAACAAAATAAAATCGCGGATTCAAATATATTTTTTCGTGGAATTTCAAAAAAATTTGTATCCAAAAATTCTAAAACGTTTCCTTGGGTCACGTGAGGTCCACACTAAATTTAGGCCAGATCGGTTCAGCCGTTTTGACGTTTATCGGTTACAAACAACGAAACACCCAGACAAGCAAAGTATATATATAGATGGGATGAAATTTTCCTTACATGTTTTACTTGACAAGAGTATCATATTTTAATTTTAATTTTGTAGTTCTAAAACTCTTCCACCATCACCCCCCCCCCTTTTCACTCTTCTCCCCCCCCACTCCTTATTTCCCTGTTGCCCCCTCGTCCATGTAAAGAAATTGGTATTCAGAGGAGAAAAAAGGAGAAAACAAGATTAGGAAATTTTAAAACTTTCCTTTTGTCTCAAGAAATCTAGATAAATTCCACAAATATTTAAACCAAATTTCAGGGGTGTATATCTTTTCAATATTTTTAATGATCTATAAAATTCGAAAAGGGGGGTGGGGGAAATTAGAAACTTTGTTTTTGCAAATCGTACAATTTACATCCCTGATAATTTTTCAAATTTTTCAAATTTACTGGGCATTAATATTTTAAAAAACAGACACACTCGGAGTTTAGTCACGACATTTCATATTTTATATTATTAAAAAATAAATTTCATAAGCATTGCTTAGTTACATACAGGGGTAACCAATAAAATGCAGAACAATTGAGGTCTTGATTCTATTCAATGTTGTTATTTCGAGGACTTTATATTTGGTTCAGAAACCTAACAAAATTAGGAAAAAGCTTTATCGGAGTTTTTTAAAATTAAAATTTAAAATTTAAGTCATAATTTTTCAGGGGTGTGTGGGTGAATTCTAAAAAGATAATCCCCCTAAACATGTTTGACTATTCTCTTTTTTCCTCTGGTAAAATTTAAGTCATAATTTTTCAGGGGTGTGTGGGTGAATTCTAAAAAGAAAATCCCCCTAAACATGTTTGACTATTCTCTTTTTCTCTCTAGTGAAATTTAAGTCATAATTTTTCAGGGGTGTGTGGGGAATTCTAAAAAGAAAATCCCCATAAACATGTTTGACTAATCTCTTTTTCTCTCTGGTAAAATGTTCCCCTGGCACGAGATCTTATTATTTAGCTGAACAGTCCTATGCGGGTGGAACTGGAAAATTAGAGAGAGGAGGATAGGGAGGGGGGGGGGACTTTACATCTGTATAAATATTAAATATGTCTACCCTATTTTGTCGTCTGTCTGCACCAGACAAGACAATGCTTTTAAAAGCTTTATAATCTTGGATTTGTAATTTAAGAAACCTTTTATGTTGTTGCCAGGCGTTCCTTACTAAATACATATCGTTCAATATTTCAAAATTTTTGTTTACACAATTCATATATTTGGCCGCAGGTCGAAACTTTAGTGTAACAAAGGCTTAACTCGATATTCACAGTGGAAAATGAAACTTTTAATTGCCTCTTATTAATATTTTCGGGAATCTTCATCTACTCAAATGAAATTAACTTAATCTACAAGATAAGGGATTAAAAAATTCAAAAGTTACGACCTTTCATTTTTAAACTGACACCTTTAAAAGGACTATACGTGCACCATTTTTAAGATGGCTAAATGCCTGATTCACAAAGGTATACAGACTTAAAAAGGTTTAACTCCGAAAATTCCTATTTCTTTCCCTGCAGTAGAAATGCGCGAGTCACTTATGTAGAGAACAAACAATTGAAAAAATTCAATAGTCAAAATTATAAACATAGCTATCTAATTCATACTTAATCAGACAAAGCTTTTAAGCGTACCGTTGTCATCTTTGTATGGAGGGTCACGTGAGGGTCCCTCTATATTATAAAAACAATCGTTTTCTAATTTTTTTCTACTGTTACGTAAAATTTACTAAAATGTTTTGATTTGTTTTGTACCTCCTCTAACTGTTGTAGTTCAGCTACCATTGAGATCTCCTCTGATAGAACCGGTTTCAGGCAGGAGATAAACATGCAGTACCTAAATATAAAATTATGACGAAGAAAAAAAAAATTAAAAAATTTTAAAATTAGGAAAAGATGATTTAATTTTTTTAACGTTTTTTTATTTTTATAGTTATCATTTGAATTTGTTAAATTAAATTTAAGTTAAAATATTAGGATTCAAAAAGCATAATAATTATAAATGATTAACTTTTCATTCAAACTGTATTTAAGAAAAATAAATTAAATCATAAATTTGTTTACAGGGTCTCCTACCTACTACGCTCCTCGATGAGTATCTTCCGCACAGCGACCTTCTCGGTCTCGTGGAGATTGCGCGCGTGCTTGTTGACTTCCGCAAGCGCCTGGTCCAACTTTGGGTCACTTTCAGATCTAAACATAAATGAAATCTTTAAAATAATTTTATCAGGAACCACCACTTAAAGAACTGCCCTGCTTGCAAAGACGATGGTACCCCTAAAAGCTTTCGTCTGATTAAGTATGAATTAAATCATTAATTTTGTCCCTTTAAACTGGTTATTTTCAATTGTGGTTTCTAAACAAAGAAAACTAATTTAAGTTTTCAGAGCTGAAAACTTTAAAATGGGATATCCTTAATCCCGATCGGTTAATCAATCTGGAGACTAATATCAAGAGGAGAACAAGCAATATTCAATCTCGAGATTAAGAAAAAGAGTAGATCAAGCATTAATCCCGATATCAATCATTCAAAAGTTCCCAGCTCAGAATCAAAAACTTATTAACCTAGAAAACCGTCAATATCCTCCACCATATTGGTCAGATAAAGGTTTCAAGGGTACCGTTGTGAGTCGGACAAAGCAAACTTTGCATGAAGGGTCACTTGAAATTACGCTGACAGTCCCTTTTAGTAGAAGTTAGCAGAGTTTCTTTCACATTTTGAAATATGTGAATCTGGGGGGGTTAACTATTAGAGTTAGGGTTAAAGGTTAGATTGAAAAAACTTAGGTATGATTAAGTAATATATGCCTAAAGCTCTGATCCCCGGATTGGAAAGATTTATATCGACAAAATATAGAGATGAACAATATAATAAAGCCAGGATATGTACAATTGAAACGAAAAAAGAACATATTTTCAAAAATTCAACACTTCCATTAATTTTTTCATTGGGCATGCTTTAATTAAAAAACTTTCCAGCCATAAGTCTTCTCAATCCTTGCCCTAAGCACTTAACAAAGATGATTAAAATACTTTTCTGAATACAGAATTAACTTAAAAATTACAAAAAATATAGTTCAATGAGAGCAAGAGGTTAAATTTTGAAGAATAAAAAGAGAAAAAAAAATGGCCGATAACATTTTAAAGAAATAAAATAGAAGAGTAAGGACGTATAAAAAGAAAAATGATAATAAAAAACTTAAATTAAATTTATATACAGATTAAAAGAGAAGGCCAAGAGATATTTAAAATTAGAAATGGACGATAACAAATAAATAAAAAATTAAATATGACAAGGAAATGAGAAAATATGGGAAGAGGGATGGCAATCAGGATATATAATACATATTGCATAACAACCATATATTGCAATTTTTGGCAAGAATGCTCAGCTCTTTAATTAGGAGGATGGTTCGCTAATGATGTCATTAATTACTTGGGTGATTAGCTGTTCTCAAGGTTATTAGTGTATACTGCACCACTTTACAGGAATATGGAAAACATATTTTGAACAGAAACTTTTTAAAAGATTGAACTTGAGCATAACATAAAAAAGGAAAATTCCGCTAAAATATATGAAAACTTACCCTTTAGACTTTTTATGCTTCTTAAGAATTCTGGTGGCGTTGTCTGATTTTTTCTTTAGTTCAGTTCGTAGCTTTTTATATTCCTTACTATGATCTTTATCAAGACAACTAGCAACCTGAATAATTAAAAGAAATTTAATAAAGGATGTTTTAAATTAGATGTCTTAAATCATGAGTTATGCTAAATTAAGCTAAGCTAAAAAAATTACAGGTTTACACCATAATGTTGGAAAGATATATAGGGATTGGAAAATTTGAGTTTGTGGCAAAGACCAAATCCCTTTAGGAAAAATTATTTTAGAAAGCAAACTCATTTTTTTTCGTTAAAAAAAGAGTTAAAACAAAGAAGATTTTTTTTGTGTGTGGTGGGGGTCAAATATAGGAGGTAGAGATGAAAGAATATCTGAATGAATGGAAAAGCATGACTGTAGATATAGATATATTGATGGTAATCGATCAGAAACAAATGAATAATGGAGTCAGAGGTTGAAAATAAAAATGATTAAAAATATCTAATTTATGTATTATCCCAAAATCAAATATCAATTGTATATTCATATATACATTACACATATTACACAGTAAATACAATGCAGAAAATAATGTCCCTGCTAACGAAATAAATTATGCGTAGATAATGTTCTTAATTGTTCGATTGTACGCAATTAAATATACGCATATTTAATTTCACCCTGTCCCTGTCCGTATGCGTGGTGTGTGTAGTGTAGAACGGAATACCATAATTAATCAGCTTTCAATTGTTTTGATTGATTTTAATTAATCGTTTTATTATTGCTATGCTGACTACACACATTCAAGAAGTACATTCAATCTCGAGATTAAGAAAAAGAGTAGATCAAGCATTAATCCCGATATCAATCATTCAAAAGTTCCCAGCTCAGAATCAAAAACTTATTAACTGGGCCCGATCGGTTCAGCCGTTTTGACGTTTATTGGATACAAACAGACAAACAAACAAACAAACAGACAGACAAGCCAAATTTATATATAGATGTGTGTATGGGGGATGAGGGGGGGATACAGGAAGAAAGCACAATGTATATTTCCCCGCTTGTGTTATGCAATATGCATAATATATGCAGTCCTGTATCCTGTATCCTACATCTTGCAGGTGGAGTTTTGTTTTCATGTTAGTAGATTGGCAGTTTTAATTTATTTCGGTTAAATTCTTGCGGATTTTCTAGATTCTTAAAAAAGACGGATTTACGACAAACGCTGAGCATTTTTAAGGTTAGAAAAATAAACATTGAAACATTTGTCTCCAAGGCTTCAATGACATACGTTAACATATGTTCTAATTTAAAATTCAGTGATGGTGATGGACCAAACCTCTGTAGAGTAAAAATTAATTGATTAAAGATGGATCTAGGTTGGTTTCAAGAAAAATGAAATAAGTTCAAATTAGTTTGAAACTAAGACTTGAGGATCTCAGGCCTCGAGGTCTCAGGAAAAAATGCTAATGATACGAGAAAAGTATTAAAAAAGAGGGGGGGGGGGTGGGGGCTACCGAGAAGGGTTTCGATTGAGGGAGAATGACCTCATAAATAAAAGAGATGCTTGCACAATTAAAATCGATTCCCTTTAAACCTTAGTCGTAACAAAACTGTTGAAGATATCCTTTTTCATCTAAAAATTGATAATTGATAAATAAGGTTTTTAATGTTTATGTCAATTTAAATAATTAGAATCAAGGATGTTTGCTAAGGCGTGGCTAATGCTTATGGGGCGTGGCTCACCTTCTTCCATTCCTCCATCTTGTCCTGTAGGGGTAGGACCATACAGTCGAGTAGGGCGGAGCAGAGGGTTTTCATCCTGGACTCCATAGATTTGTGGCGGAGAACTATACGGGTCAAACAGGAACCTATCTCACGGGTAGCTCCTAGATAGATAGGTGAATAATATATAAACAAATAAATTAATAGATTAGTAGATTGATAAATAAATTGATATATTGAATAGATTGATAGATAGATAGATGAATAAATAGACTCGTGGCAGATAACTATACGGGTAGCACCTAGATAGATAGGTGAATAATATATAGACAAATACATTAATAGATTAGTAGATTGATAGATAAATTGATATATTGAATAGATAGATAGATAGATAGGTGAATAATATATAGATAAATAAATTGATATATTGAATAGATTGATAGATAGATAGATGAATAAATAGACTCGTGGCAGATAACTATACGGGTAGCACCTAGATAGATAAATAATTAGATATATGAATAGATGGATGGAGAGATAAATAGATGTATCAATGTAATAATAAACATATATACATAGATGGATATAAAAAATACATTGAAAGGTAGATAGACGAATGTAAAGAAAAAAAGATAATGAGTTTTAGTAAGTAACTTGCAAAGTTCATTACCACAGAAGTTTTATTGCATATTGTAAATATAAATATATTTAATTTATTTTTCATGAAGAAATAAATAAGTAAAAATGTAAGTAGAAAGCAACTTAAATGAGTAATAAAATTTAAGTCAATGATTAGAAACTATTATTTTACACCTTCTCTAATCCTGGCTTTCATACAAAGGATTCAAAGGATTAGAGTGTCTAGGATTACATTCGGGAGTTCTGCGTTGCAAAAAAACAAAATAAAAAATTTTACTTTTTAAAATGTATAATAGATTTTTCTGAAAAGATTTTTTTTTCATAAAATGAATACAAAAAATGAAAAAGAAAATACAGCACACTTTTTTCATTTTGTTGATAAAGTTGGAGAAAACAAGACAAATAGAAAACCGGAAGAGAAATAAATATTTCCTTCAATACCAAAATACAACAGTAAAGTTCTTAAACTTTTATAGATACATGTAAATTGTAAATTGTAAATTTATATATATATATATATATATATATATATATATTCATAGATGATAAAGTGTTCGATAAATAAAAATATGTAAAAATATTATGTAAATGAATAAATAAGTAGGTTTACAACAGCTGTTTTATTTTTCTCAATAATTAGAAGAATTGGGTAAAAAAAGTTAAATATTTATTATAAGGAAAAGGGAAAGGCTCTGTAAAAAAGGGGTTTTACATTTTACCATAACAGCTTTAAACTTTGTTCACAAAAGAATAAAGAATTTTTTCCAAGTAAAAAGGCAATTTGTCCACTAAATTGGCAATCTTTTTCCTGACCAATCGGCAATTTGTTTCTCCATGGTTCAAAACATTAAAAAATTTTAATAAAAAATAAACAACGCAATGATTTGCAACTTTTTCTACATAAATAGGCACTAAATTGCCAATTTTTTCTCTTACAAATGGGCAATTTATAACTTCTTGATTCAAAACATTTCAACTTTTTAATAAAAAAAATTAACGCAATAATTGGCAACTTTTTCTTAAGAATTAGGCAATTTCTCAACTAAATTGGCAAATTTGTGAAGAAATGGGCAATTAAAAAAAATTGAATATATTTTTCTTTAAACATTTAAATGAATAACAGATAAAGATTCATGATTTTTAAATAAATAATTAATGTTTTTAAATAAATAATTAATGTTTTTAAATAAATAATTAATGTTTTTAAATACATAATTAATGTTTTATAAGACTTAGGAATTTACAATTACGAATATTGAATTTGGTACACACGTAATTGTGCATTGTACAATAAACTGTTTTCAATCTTACAACTGTAGTACTGTGAATCTACGTAAGAAGTCACTGGGAAAAAAGTTTCTTGAAAAAAAACTTGAAAAAAAAATCTGAAGTCCTAGGACAAAATGTCACTGGAATGAAGAACTAAGTTTTAGATTCCTGGGACTTTTTTCCTACAATAATATGGGGGCTGCCAATTAAGTCTCAGAAAATAAGATCACAGGAAGTAAAGTCCCGAAGAAAAAAGTCTTAAGTCTTGAAAAATGAGGTCAATTCTTAAACGTTCACATAAAAAAGACTTAAAAGGACTTTTCTTCTATGCATCTTCATATTAAAAAGTCCCTTTTTACCACAGGACTTTTTTAGTTTCAAAATTTAGGACTTTATTTCACAGAACTTTTTTGACAGTTACCACAACTGTACACTTCACGCATAGCAAATATAAAACCTCTTAAAAAATATAAGTATTGCTCAAACGTATTAAAAAGAATATGTACTAGAAGAATAAATAATATATAATGTACTGGGTACAGCCTGCTTTTGATAGGGGAATAATAGGAAATACTTGCACAAGGGAAAAGAAGGGAAAGGGGGAAGGGAATGGAGAAGATATATAAGGGGGGGGAAGGGGGAAGGGAATGGAGAAGATATAAGGAAGGAAAGGGGGAAAGGAATGAAGAAGATAAAAGGGGGAAAGGTGGAAGGGAATGGAGAAGATATATGGAAGGAAAGAGGGAAGGAAAGAGGGAAGGGAATGGAGAAGATATAAGGAGGGAAAGGGGAAAGGGAATTCAGAAAATATAAGAAGGGAAAGGAGAAAGGGATGGTGTGGGTTTGAGGGGAAGGATTGAGAATGTGAAGGAACAAAATATCTGGAAAACTAATGAGTTGGGTTGAGAAGAATTATTTTTGGTAAAATATTCTGTCTCATTTATTTTTTAACTTTTTAAATAAATTTTTCTCATGAGAAGTTTGATGAAAACCTACCAACTTTGAATAAACCACTGCGGTAAATCTGAGAATTAATATCCCCCATCCAATTTATTCCACCCCCCCCCCCCTGGCTTATCCTGATATCAGGGCATACAATACAATCCATTGGTTGCAGTACAAGTAGCGGTATTGATAATATTGTTATATACAGCCTGATCTTGATAATATTGTATATATTGTATATATTGTATATTTAGGGTGGAAAAGGTGAATGTGTTGTGTATGTAGTGAACAGAAATCTAGGTAAAGAGTGTCCAAAAACACAAATCTAGGTAAAGAGTGTCCAAAACCACAAATCTACGTAAAGTGTCCAAAAACGCAAATCTGGGTAAAGAGTGTCCAAAAACACAGATCTAGTTTAAGAGTGTCAAAAACACAAATCTAGGTAAAGAGTGTCCAAAATCACAAATCTAGGTAGAGTGTCCAAAATCACAAATCTAGGTAGAGTGTCCAAAATTACATATCTAGGTAGAGTGTCCAAAATCACAAATCGAGGTAAAGAGTGTACAAAATCACAAATCTAGGTAAAGTGTCCAAAAACACAAAACTATGTAAAGAGTGTCCAAAAACACAAATCTAGGTAGTGTCCAAAATCACAAATCTAGGTAAAAAGTGTCCAAAAACACAAAACTAGGTAAAGAGTGTCTAAAAACACAAATCTAGGTAGAGTGTCCAAAAACATAAATCTAAGTAAAGAGTGTCCAAAAACACAAATCTAGGTAAAGAGTGTCCAAAAAAATTAGAAATCACCTTTTTTTGAAACAAAGAGTTTTTTTTTAAACCTACAACATTAATATTCATATAATAAAAGTTTTATTCAATTCTTTTATTAACTCCAATATTAATATAGAAAAATAGAAAAAATCTAATTCCTAACAAAATCTTGGGCACTCAATATATAGGTTATTATTATCTAGACATTGTATTGTAAATTATAAATTATTTATAATTGGTTTGATTATATAGAAAAATTGTGACAAATAAAACGAAATATAACAATATCCAATTTCAAGGACTCACTAAAAATACTAAATCTGTAAAGAAGATCGAATAAAAGAACAAATTCCTCTCCATAGTGAGTATTACTGCAAAAATCAATACATTGACGAAAAACATTCATTCAGAAAGAATTACAATAAAATTCGTTATCTAACAAACAAAGTGTATGCTTTTTTTGAAAAACTACAAACAAAAACTTTCAGTGCAAACTGCATGGAACTTATATGTATTATATAATATTACAAACAAAAAATATGAAATATGACCTCAAATACATTCCAAGGATACGATATGTAATAGCTAACATTGTTACGCAATACATTAACTTCAAGACTGAATAATTGCGCATTTTAACTTTAATAATTCAATTTGATTGTCACAACATCTAAACGTTGCTTTTACGATCAGATTGAAATATTTTCCAACTATTAAAGGGACTGTTACCGTAAATTCAAGTGACCCTTAAAAGCTTTGTGTAAGTAATAAAACTCCATGTTTTCGCTTCGAGAACTGTCAATTTTCATTTTGGTTTCTTTGCAAATCAGATATAGGTTTCAAGGATACCGTTGTAGATCGGACATCGCCATTTTAGCATGGAGGGTCACTTGAAATAACGCGTACAGTCTCTTTAAGGTGTCAATTTTCACAATACAAAAGTTATAATTCTTATTTTTTACGCAATCGGGAAAAGTTTCCGATTTAGAAAAACAAAATGTTCGAAACCTGAGATGTTTCTGTTATAAAAGTTACTTTATGATATGATAAATCGTGAAAGTAGAAATATTCCCGCTACCCCTACCGGTCTTGCAAAGCATTGGACTTTTATCTGACATTTTATCTACAAATTACTTAATTGATTTATTTATTTAGAAATGAACCTTTATGTTCATAACAAAGAGATTTTAAATTGTACAGAATTGACAAAAAGATAGGACAAGCAAACTTTTTAACAAATACTTGATGTTTTACGTTTAAAATGAAATCAATCTAATTTCCTTGTGTTTTGTAGTTAAAACATAACTTTTTGTACAAAAATAATGATTGAAAAATTTATTAAATTCTTGTATTGGAGTAAAAAAAATACGCCGACAAAAATAAAAAACCAGGAATACAATTTTACAAAGCGAAAATTTTAGTTTTTTTTCGTTATAATTCTAGTTATATCCTATGTGTTTTGTATGCATGTATAAGTGTATTCCATTAATTGTCAGATAGATTAATAGATAATTGATTAATCATAGAATAGATGGGATCAACAATGAAAAGATTACTAGATGAATGAATAAATAGATAAATAATTTCAATGTAGATAGATAAAGAAACAGAATAAAAACAACGGAATAATTGTAAAAAGCTGATAATTTATAAAATTATTCAATCTGCCTTCTTCAGTTATTTCTTTCTTCTCCTTCATTACATTTTCACTGAATAATGTTTTAAGAGAAAACACATAATTTTTACCTTTTGTATTAGTTGCAGCATCAGCAATCTTCTGAAAGGTGTCAAGAAAGGACCCAAGGGCAAGAATAGTATTCCTGGAAAATAATGTTATAAGAAAACTTTTATATTAAGAATTCGCATTAATTTTGATTTTTTACATCTAGAACTTCAAAAATAATATTAGGATTAAGTGACACATGTTCCATTGTCAAATAGATGTAGAACGTGACAAAAAAAAGTTGGATTAATATCTTTTCTGTAAAAATTCTCAGAAATGAAAAAGGTGGCCGGAATTGTGCACAACTATAAAAAGTATATTTTGCAAAAAGAATAACAGTTTATTTGCAAATTCCAGGATTGTGTGCTAATAAATCTATGCAAATTATCATCATTATGCGACCTCGGGGCTGGGTTTGCACACATGCATATTGCATATATGCACTCTGCGAATTTCCATAAACGTTGCAGAAAATGAAGTCATATCAAAACATGAAAATTCTATAAGAAATCCACTTTCCACTTCTGAAACAACAGGTGTATCAGAACATTTAAAGGGACTGTAAGCGTTATTTCAAGTGACCAACAGGGCATTGCACGATTTACAACCTTTTACTGATCAAGTTTATATTGATATCAATGTCTTTGTTCCTTTTATTTTTATTTGCTGTTAATAGAGAAATTAACAGAAAAACACCTTTCGAATCAGGAAAAGGACGCTTTTATCAACATTTTTGTTTAGAAAAAAGTTTCAAGGCTAACGTTGTGAATCGGGCATTGGCATCTTTGCTTGGAGGGTCACTTATAATTACGCGTACAGTCCTTTTAAGTTAACATCTTGATGTTTAAAAACTAATGCTAAGCCCCCCCCCCTCGAACCCCCCTTTCATTCTCAAAGATAAAAAATCCGCAATATTTCGTGTTAATAGATTCGAATAAAAGGGTTGTTAATAGATTTCTTCACGAATACAGGGTAAGGGAATAGTAAAGGTTGACTTAGATAAAAAATATTTCATAAATGCGCGCAATAATGATAGTATAAAAAACAATTTAAGTTAAAGAACACTTTTTTACAATCGCAAACTGGTTATAGAAAATAAATAGTGGCAGAACCGCAAACAAAGGAATTAAATCTTTGTCACAAACTCTGATTTTCAAATCCCAATGTATTTGCTACCCAATGTCGTAAAACTTAAATATTTTTAGCTATGAATGCTGTTGGATCAAATAATCTAAGTTTGAAATAACAAAGGTTTACACCACAAGGTTGCAGGGATATAGGGATTCGAAAATTTGAGTTTGTGACAAAGACTCAATTTCTTTAAGAAAAAAACATTGCCACAGCCATAAACAGGATATGCACAGAGGGCGAGACTTCAGGATATGATTGTAACTGTATGTTTCTTGATACTTATGATTCCCACCAACTGTAAATTTGTTTATCTTTTTTTCCTAATCATTGATAAAGCCATTAAAAGACTATGTTCAAGGCAGAGCACTTAATTTAACATCGGAATTATCAAATTTAACGAGTTTTAGGTCGTCTTTACAATCTCATTGTAGGTGGGTAACCCTGTATACCCATGCTATAAAAAGATCTTGTCACACCCGAAGGAATCTAAAGAACAAGCTAATCCGAAAAAATTATCGTCCCAACCGTACAAAAATGGCAAGCATTGTCACAATCGCGAAAATTTGAAAAATGTGAATTACAATTTTTTATTTAATACTAAAACTGGTTAAATAACAAGTTATGCATAATCTGATACAATTATTGCAACTTGTTAATGAAAACTTTAATGTGTTAACTCAAATGCTTTGCTCAGTTACTCAATTGATTACAAGATTTTATCAATTGATTAATTAACTTTAAGGGGTGCATCTCACCCCCTCAGAGGGGGGGGGGTTACCCAATGACCAGTTGATTATAAAAATTGTTAGAATAACTCTTAGGGGTGCATCAACNGTTTCACTTATGAGTGTGCCCCCCCCCCTCCCCAATTAAAAAAGAAAATTTAAGTTAAATAAAATTTAAAAATTTAGTATAAAAATATATTGAATGTTTACAAATCCCTGAAATTCTTCCATTTTCTTTGTATCGAGTCAAAATCCATATTCTTTGAAGTTATTTGATCCCATTTGTTAAGTTATATACAAAGAGGGGGACAGGATGGGGGATTAAAGGGAGAAAAGTGAGGGAAAAGGAGAGGAGGGATGAGGGGTTGGGGAGGAGTTGGAGTGAAGGGATAGAATAGGAGTGATGAGGAGTAATAGAGGAGGAATGAGGGATAGTAGAGGAGGGATGAGGGATAGAAGAGTAGAAGGAGAGGTGCAGGAGAGTAGAGGAGGGATGAGGGATAGAAGAGTAGAAGGAGGGGTGCAGGAGAGTAGATGAGGGATAGAAGAGTAAAAGGAGAGGTGCATGAGATTAGAGGAGGGATAGAAGAGTAGAAGGAGAGGTGCAGGAGAGCAGAGGAGGGAGTAGGGATAAAATAGTAGAAGGAGAGGTGCAGGAGAGTAGAGGAGGGATGAGGGATAGAATAGTAGGAGAGGTGCAGGAGAGTAGAGGAGGGATAGAAGAGTAGAAGGAGAGGTGCAGGAGAGCAGAGGAGGGAATAGGGATAGAATAGTAGAAGGAGAGGTGCAAGAGAGTAGAGGAGGGATGAGGGATAAAATAGTAGAAGGAGAGGTGCAGGAGAGTAGACGGAGAAAGGCGAGTAGTTGTGGAGGAAGTGGGTGATGACGGTTTACAAGAGAAGGTGATGAGGAGTTTGGAAGAATAGATTGAGGGATAATAGAGGAGGGATGAGGGACAGCAGAGAAGGAGAAAGGTTGGGGGTAGGAGAGGAGGGATTGGGGAGAAAAGAATGAGGGGTTAAGGGGTGAGGGAGGAAGGAATGAGGGAATAAGGAGGGATAGTAGATGAGGGGGTAGCAGAGCAGAGAATCAAAAACCGAAAATATTCTTCTTAAACGCTTATTAATATAGTTTAAGAAAACAAAACAAAGTGATTCTAAAGAAAAATGCAAAGAAAGAAATAAGAATGCAGATTGCAGAATGGAAAAAACCTGAATGGTTGCAAGGGAGAAGAAAGGCTGACAAAAAACTAAATGGAAAAGATGATAAAGGCTGAAGAAAGATGTAAAAGAACTGGTATGGGCAGTAAAGAACCAGAACCCTGCTCAAGTATAAAGAACAGGCTTGAAACATTTAACTGATAACATGTCAAATATATCATACAAAATACACATCCAGAGAGTGTCAAACATACACTAAAACTAAAAAGTAAAACCAGATTCAGTTTGAAAATAACATTTCGGGGGTATAGAAAAATACTACATTTATTTAAATTTAAATAAGCTATGAAGTTCAAATACAATCTTAATTTTTCTTCTAATGCTATACCAAAAATTATTTTCAAGTCACCAAAGAAAATGTATTTTGGTTTTCTTTATATCAAAAATTATCTTTATATTAAAAAATCGGAAATTATTTCTCGAGCCACCTTGAAGAGATGGTTTAACAGTCAGAAACTATTTGAGCACATACGGATTTATTTATATCAAGATACACTTACATAAAAATATAATGATACTGGAAGCTGATCTGAACAACTCAGAGACCACCCTCCAGGGAGGCCGAGAGGCAGGGGGGAGGGGGATGCAGGGGTTTAATAAAAACATAAACATAGACAAATGATTCTATTTGAGGACAATAGACAAAAATGAAAACATCAGACATTGCAAAAGAATTGATGAAAAACAAAATTTAGCAAACTTTTATCCCTCTGCTTTGTGACAAAGTTTAATAAAAGTTTATTATAAATCTGAACCTTTTCTAACTTATAGATCCCACCACCTACCAGGGGTGTATATTTTCATGAAAAGTCAATTTTGAAATTTTTTAAAATTATTTCCCCAGATATAAGGTATATTTTTGAAGTTTTGGATAACATTATTACATTTTTAAATTATTTCCCAAGCACAAAAAAAATTCCCCGCCCCCCACTTTTTCATTAAAAATATACACCCCTGTCCCCTCCTCTATTTTCTAGCTCAAGAATTGTCTTATTCCATTCAAAACAGCGAACACGAGAAACTTCCAAAGAATATTTTACCAATATCCCTTAATGTCCAATGAACAGTTGATTGTATAAATTGATAAAATAACTTTTAAAATGAGAAGAGAGAGGGGGGGGGGGGGTTACACAATGTCCAATGACTAGTTGATTGTATATATAGATCTACTTACTTGAGCTGAGAATGCAGTTTTCCTGCTTTACTGATAAAATCTTCATAGTGTGGTACTCCAGTCTAAAAAAAAACAAAATAATTAGAAAATTAAAAATAAAAACTTTACAAATAAATATGTCAAAAAATGTATGGAAACAAATAAGAATTATAAGTGTAAAAAATGTTGAGTAAAACAAACAAATATAGTATCTTTATTCGACTAAAACGTTTTCCATTATCTATGTCTTTGATATATCAATCTATAATTATTTGATCTCTGACTTCCTAGTTTACAATATCAAAGATTAGTTTGCAAATATACAAAGATCAGAAAATTAGAGTTTGTTACGAGTTATCAGTTCCTTTTCTTGTATTTATTTTTTGCTAACTAATAACCGACTAATTTGTTGTTGACCATTGATTAACAAGATAAAATGCAGAACTTGATAATTCAACTAGTCTAATGGTCTATTCAGTCAATCAGATATTAGATCTAATTCTAGGAGTAAATAAAATTTATATGTTGGAGTGGTAATAGAGATAACCCTAGGAGTAACTATGTGTATACTTTGCTTGTCTGTCTGTTTGTATTCAATAAACGTCAAAACGGCGTAATCGATCGGGGCCAAATCTTGTGGGGGACCTCACATGACCCCAGGGAAGGTTTATAGATGCTTAAAATTACAAAAAATTGTCTCCAAAAGCTTTTGTTTTTTGTAAAATGTGCGAAAAATTATTATTAAATCTGCGAACTTTTTTCTTTTTTGTTTTTTTATTGTACAAAGAGAAGATGTTCACAGATAGAGCCACAAATAGAAATTGAAAAAGCCTAGTTATACTAAATAGAACCACCTAGAGATTCAAAAATTTAGAAAAATTAAGTCTTTATTTGATTGCCTTACCAAGTAATTTAATAATATGCCATTTAATAAAACCACATTCAAGGCAGAAGACTTTATATGAAAAGTTTGAAGTCGTCTTAACAGTCTCATCCATTGTGGGTAACCCTGTATATCTAGAATCAAGATCAAATCTGAACAAATTCCTTAATCCTGATTGGTCAAATTTGACAAGTTGGAAAATAAAATTACCTCTCATCAAAATATTATTGATTTTGAGAATTTGTAAAATTAAAACATCTAAGCTAACACAAAGATCTTAAAGAAAACGGACAGCTCCAGAAAGATAGCAATTCAGGGATGTTTCACTTATGAGTGTGCCCCCCCCCCTCCCCAATTAAAAAAGAAAATTTAAGTTAAATAAAATTTAAAAATTTAGTATAAAAATATATTGAATGTTTACAAATCCCTGAAATTCTTCCATTTTCTTTGTATCGAGTCAAAATCCATATTCTTTGAAGTTATTTGATCCCATTTGTTAAGTTATATACAAAGAGGGGGACAGGATGGGGGATTAAAGGGAGAAAAGTGAGGGAAAAGGAGAGGAGGGATGAGGGGTTGGGGAGGAGTTGGAGTGAAGGGATAGAATAGGAGTGATGAGGAGTAATAGAGGAGGAATGAGGGATAGTAGAGGAGGGATGAGGGATAGAAGAGTAGAAGGAGAGGTGCAGGAGAGTAGAG